TCTCTCCTGCGGAGCCCCACCCGGCTCAGACATTCTTCTCTCCTCAGCCCACCCTTCCCAGCCCATCCCAGGGCAAGAGAACTGACATCCACAGCTGCACTAATCTCTCCCAGTTGCTGTGAGCAGCAGCCATGGGCCTGGCGGGGCAGCTTCCCCTCCCCATGTCCCAGGAACCCGCCCAGGCTGTCCTCTGGGACCAAGCCAGCTTGGCGTGAAGCATGGGGCAGAGCTTGAGGGCTTTTACCACGGGCAGTGTGGARTGAGCACGGAAGCCTGGTGAGCCTGCTGGTCATCCTGCCCCAGGAGCCGCCAACTGCCGGACTAGCTATTCTCCCGTCACAGGCTCTCCTTCCATCCCAGATGCCAGCATAGTTTTAAATGTGTGTCCACTGGTTGAGCCTTGGACCCCTGGACTCTTAAATTTAAGATGCTGACAGATTTGGTTTTACCTTTAGCCTATGTTTAAGATGACATTTGACATGTGTGGGACCAATGCTACATGAAGAATGAGTTTCTCAGCAGGTGGGGGACATGCAGGGAGGACATGATCATTTCTCCCACAGTCGAGAATGCAGAAGTTTCTGCCATATCCTTCCCAGTGGCCCCACCGCCAAGACACATGGCAAGGAGTGGCCCTCCTGGCTATAGCAGTTCTCACCTCCCCACCTCACCCCCACAGGGCTGTGGGTACCTGCCAGAACCCCCTTGGGCTTCCAATGGATTCCCAACCTTAACATCACCTCAGAGGCAACCAAGATTAATAAAGTGGACCAKCCAGGCAAGATGGCACAGAATGTGATCCCAGGAACTTGGGAGGTTGAGGCTGGAGGATCATAAGCTCAAGGTCAGCTCAGGTAACTTAGTGAGACCCTGTCTCAAAATAAAACATAAAAAGGGCTGGGGTTGGGGGGGTGTTGGGGCTGTGGCTGAGTGGTAGAATGCCTGCCTTGCATGTGTGAAGCACTGGGTTCAATCCTCAGCACCACATAAAAATAAAGATATTGTGTCCATCTATAACTTTAAAAAAAAAGGGGGGGGGGCTGGGAGGTGTAACTTAGTGGTAGAGCACCCCTGGGTTCAATCCCTAGTGCCACCAAAATAAATAAATAAAAAGTAACGTTGACCAGACTGACGAGGGCCTTGACCTGGAGAGAAATTAGTGAATATCATAACACCTGATACGCTCAAAGGAGAAACTTGAAACTTTATACCAACCTATCCCTCTGCTTGGCCGAGAGGCAWACGTGCCTTCTTGGTCCTGAATTCATCTCCTTGTTTCTGACTAGCCCATGGCCTCTGTCTTGAACAGTACCATTTTCCTCAAGTCTGGTAGATGCCTGGCACTARCTTGAGGATTCAGTCATTTGTTGGGTACATTTTAACTGAAATAATGTTAAAATTACTTATTACCTGATCTCTTTTAATCAAGAAGCCACATGAGATTATACAATAACCTGGGCCAAGCTTCACCTTTGGCAGCAGCTTCCTCAACATGGGAACTATCCAGCTCATCCAGCTATYGCCCCCCTGGCCCACCCCAGGACAAGAGTCTTTCACACATGAGGCCGGGGYTTGCTGCCCTCCCTACTTATCTTACCTGCTCTGCAGGTTGCTGAGCACTTGACATGTGGCTGGTTTGTCCTGAGAGGGGCTGTGACAGCACCACATGCACCGATTTCAAAGACTTGGCATATGACAGGAGACAKCGAAATGTCTTAATGAGAATTCTTACAATGACTTTATGTTGACATTCTGTTTTGACTATATGGGTATAGTCAACTAAAGCATTATTAATTTCACCTGTTGCTTTTTTGTTTTCCCCCTTGGTGCTGGGGGCTGAACCCAGGACCTCACACATGCTAAGCACATGCTCCACCACTGAGCTATACTCCCAGCCCTCGCTTTACTAGAAAATTTCAAAGGACACATGGGGCTCACATTCCACTTCTGCTGCATGGTGCTGGATGTTTCCTCCAGCTGACTTCATTCCCAGCAGTGGATGGCCTGCTGCTCCGCTCTATTCTAACCACCAAGCCAGGTATTCAATGTCCAGCAATATCCCCACACCAGCGACGGCCCCTTTGTATCCATCTACTCTTTGAACACCCACTCCCTCACCTCGGATTCCAAATGCACCCAGGAAGCTCTACACCACCTCTTCCTCTGCCTTCCCTGCCTCATCTGGGAAGCTGTATAGAAAGGGTCATCAGCAATACCTGACCCCGAGAGCTGGAATCTACCATGGGCTTTGTATCTCCCTTTTGTTCAATGCTAACACTTCGTTAATACGAAACACTGCAGAAGGGAAGAAAATGAACTCAGTGTTTACATGAGTTTGGATTTCCAACACTTTATTAAGGAACAATGGGCACCTTGCCAGATTAGTGGGAGGGGAGTGGGGTAGGGGCTGGAGAGAGAGAAACCAACAGCTGTTTTGAGTTACAGACTTTCTGTCTAAACTGGTAGCATCCCACTGTGGCTGTTGCCTTTGGGGTTTGAAAATGAAGTTGGTGTCTATTTTAGTTCTGGGTTAAAAAGCAGTCTTTCCCACCAGCTACCGTCACAGTTCACAGCCTGGCTAGTCCTCACTGGCCCATGCCTGCCCCCAAGGCCTCCTCTGATAGCAGGCTATTATGTGGAACAGCAGAGCAGAGAGGAGAAAGGGAAATTAACAATGTTCTGTAATCAACTCCTTTTTGGTTTCCAGATGCCAGCCCCACCCCATCTAGCAACAGTTACCAGATAGTGCCATCAGGCAGGAGCTAGCCTGCTCACCCTGCACAAAGGACGTCAGGTCACCTCTTCTTACCAGCAACCCTAAGGCCAGTCATTGTGGGGCCAGGGATAAAGGCCTGCCAAGACTCTACCAGGCAAAGACACTTCTTTAGCTAACCACTAATCAAACAAAGGGCATTATCACTGAACAGGTGAGGTTAACTGGATCCGMAGGGCTGGAGATTCAACCTCATAGCCTGTCTATGCCACCCGCCTTGGAGCCATAGKGGGTGATCATCCATCAAATTGTGACTGCACATGGACTACATGACCAGTGTCCAGTGCAATTCCCACTTCCACCCCCTCTGAGGATGCCTGCCTCTCCCTTGAGAAGGTCCTGGTCTGCAGGCCACTCCACAAGATCCACACCCTCATCCACAACAGCACTTCAGCRGAGGATAGCTCATCTTTCTCTCTCACTGCTATGCACTTTGTCCAAGCCCTGGGCTGTCCAGAAATCTCTTCAGAGCCAGATTATTTTTTCCTATAACATAGAATTATCTAGAAGGGGCAAATGGACAGTTCCTATGATGCTCTCTAATCACAAAATAAAATAGGAAGTGAAATAAAACACATAAAGGAGCACAGAGATGAGCTGTGACTTCATGGCGCTGCGTAACAAAAATGCTGAACGGGAGTTGGGGTCTCAAGTGCTATTCCTGCTCTGCCCACAACTCTCCTTATGAGGCTTGTCTGCCAACTTCATATCCTTCATCTAGAGAAGGATTTTAATATTCTCCACCTACCACAAGCCCACATCCTAGGGATGCTATGGACATTAATGAAACCATAAAGTCAAGTTCCTCAATCTCAGAATGAGGGGGCTTACAAAAGGAAGAACCAGATGTGTTCTCAATGGTTAAGAGAGTTTTTAGAATGACAGACCTAAAGGGAATAAAGGGTTGACCTGGTTCCCCAGCCTTCCTTCAATCTGAAGGATGAGGAAACTGAACTTACACATGAGCAGAGACAGGCCTGACAACCAGCCCATGGCTGCTTCAACACATTGGCCAATTTTCTAAGACTGGGGAGTTCCATAAAGATATTTTATAGTATTTCAATTGCTCTCCATAAATTCTTTCCTCYTCATCCCCTGGAATATATGTCAAACTAATGCAATTAGGACAACGATATTCAACATGGCTTTTAGTTAGCCCYGCACAGAGGTCTTCAGCTGGCTCGGACCTTTTCAATCCTAGGTCACAACTTAATACATGTTTGTGGGAAGAAAATCTGGTCCATGTATTAGGCAAACAGATGCCCAAATTCCTGTACTCTCAAGGTGTCTTTCTCACGTTGTAACCACATAGGGGTCTGCCCTCTGCTCTTGGAAGAACACCCTCAGCTGTGTGTGACTTCCGGGATGGGCTACCTTCAAGCCTCCCAACTACAGAAGAGGTTCCCACACAGCTCTTTGTTCTTTTCAAAGCTTAAGATCAATGATAATAATAGTTTGAGGAAAAATCCCTACACCTATCTGCTTACAAAATAACGGGACTTTTTGCCTGATGAAGAGTCATCAGAGATGGTAGCAAAAGACAGACAAGTTTCCCCTAAATTCCGATGGAAAATTATATCAATGTCCATGTTTTCTGCCTCACAAAGTTGAGAATCAGAAACCCTGCAGCTAAGCAAGATTTAAAACTAAAGCTGAATGAGAACAACTGCCTGCCGCTGTTTCACTGGAACAAGAAGGCTTTACTTCTTTGTACTCAGTAGAAGTCTTTCTTACCCTACAATGCTTTCTCAGGGTTTTTTTGCTATGGGTTGAACTTTTCTGAACACCTAGTATGTGCCAGCATTGTGCCAGGGGCATGTATCACATGGGTTATCCCTGCCCTGACCACATATCCATATATGGCCAATAATCTTGTGGGTTGCAACACCTTTTTTTGAAGAAAATATGTCTGTTGTCCAAAAGCTCCTGTGACAGGAGACTCCCCRGTGGCTGGAGGGCTCATTGGTGATTACTCAAGGGGCCTTGCTAGGAGCAAAAGAGGCAGAGTGAACACACCCTGTGACTACAGCCACCTTCTCCCTGAAGATCCTCAGCCCGACCTCTTCCCTACACCTTGCGTGTTTCTTAACTACCTTATTAATGTCATCTACTCAAGTTCAATCACTGAGCTCAGTTTAAAGTAATGAGAAATAAGAATGTAATATGCTAGGAGTAGGAATGAAAAACAGCCTCCCAGACCACAGGTCTAGTTCATCTTTCCTCCTACCTTAGTGGGTTATCTGAATGGGTCTCCATGTGGGTCTCCAGTCCATACTTGCAAACAAATTCCTTGAAGCATATTGGGCAGTGAAAGACTTCATCGGCCTTCTTCTCCAAGTCACCTGACTGCCCGTCTTCTACCATCTTAGGGAAAAGCAGAAAGTGAAGTCATAAAGGTGTTCTCTCATGGGGACTGCTCCAGAAAASAGGCCATCACCAACCCAGGGACTTCTAAAAGGGATGTGGACCTCACTCCACTATTAAGAATGTGACTCCACTGATTCCTACATTCACACAAGACATACCCACCACCTACCCGCCTGTGCCCTCACTCACTCCCCGGTTGTCTCATCTACTCAACAAGTACTCATGGAGCACCTAGTATCTGCCAAGCACTAGGAATGAGTGAGGACAAGAGTCCCTAATAAGATAAAGCTTCATTTTAGCTATAAAAACAACATAAAAAGTGTGAAAATAATTCTGGGAGCTCTTTGTTTCATCCCTAGGCTAGTTGAGGGGGTCCAAAGAGGAAACACACACAGGTACTCTTTTCTTAGACACTTTAGAAAATACTGTGGGAAAACATAGGTCGAAAAGCCTAGGATGGATGTCTGCCCAGTCCCTAGACTGTGAAAATAAAGACGAGAGGTAGATCTGCAAAAGCCCCCCGTGAGGAGACCGTGTGTGCCAGGGCCCAGAGGACCTTTTTAGCTGGTGCTGGGTCTTCTCTCTCCGACTCGGCATCATGACTCAGCTTCCTCTTGGAGGACAGCCGCCTGCGCTTCAGAGGGGACGGAGGGGCTGCAGCTGTGGCACTGTTGGGGTCCTTCTCATGAATCTTCATGTGTCTGAAAGGGAGATACACACTGAAGGTGTGACGTGACGACAACAAATATCTAGTTCACTTATTTCTTCTAAATTTTAGATTTTGTATCTGGGCCTTGGTCTTGGATTTTATCTTTTTTTGTGTGGTGCTGAGGATGGAACCCAGAACTTTACTTGTGGGAGGCAGGTGTTCTGCTACTGAGTTATAGCCCTACTCCCCGAATTTTCATTAGTTAAGCATGTGGAATACAATTTGTACAGTGGCTTCTATCTTTCCAAAGCTTTATAATCTCCTTGACCCTTCAAGCTCCTGTAATGCTATCCAGAAGCAGKGCTGTGTCTCACTGCTTGGTGGACGACATTCATGAACTTGACGGGCATTAGTGACATAGAAACAACTAGCYGGTGACTGGTTTTATGTACTCAGGCAAAAAATACTATTTTAGGACACATAATTCTGCAGAATAAAAAATTCCCAGGTTCCTAAACTTCCACTAGTTCACAAACTAAGCCATAACTCCATATTGACCCACAGAAGGCATCCTAGTTGTACTGTCTTTCTTCTGCTTCTGGAAGCATCTTGGGGTACAAATTTGAACTGTGCTGACAAAGCACATGTCCAGAGTGCTTAAGACCTGAAATCTTTTCCATGTTGTTCAAGGTCTTATGTGGATTTAYAGATGATGAGAATAGGTGGACAGTGCAGTAAATTACATGTTGCAACTCTTGTATCTAGATACACATATAATATGAAAGTGAGGTTTTATATATATTTTATATGTGTTTGTTCCATTAAAAGGGGTCTTATGGATGAGGATCTGATTTAAATGACCTTATTTCCTTATTTATTGTGGTGCTAGGGATTGAACCCAGGGCCTTGTGCAAGGCAAGGCAAGCACTCTATCAACTGAGCTATATCCCCAGCCCTTATTATTGACCCAGCCCTTAATAAATGACCTTATTTTATCAGGTTCTAAAACAAATATCGTAAGAAGAAGGTCCCAAGATACAGAGGAAAAGAAAGAATGGCATTACAAACAAATAGTCTCAATTCTTTTTTTTTTTTTTTTTAATAAAAAGGGTTTCAGTTTGCTAATGACAATCATACTCATCATCTGAATGGGGTTAAACTGTGCCAGATGTAGGAATGTAGCTGCAGCTTTTTACAAATAGCTATTTTATAAGATGATTTTACTTGAGAATTTCCTTCCACTCCCTCCCCTGTGCTGGGGATTGGATCCAGGGCCTCATGCACACTAGGCAAATGCTCTACTACTGAGCTATACGTCCAGTCCTTATAAAATTTAAGAACTTCTTAAGAAGAATATGAAAAGACAGCAAAGCTCTCATGCACTCCCCTGTCACACTTCTGAAAACCATCTCAGCTCACCTTTTTGTTGTGCCTTCTTTAGAGGAGTGAGTCTGTGGGGTGAAAAGGCCAAGCAGCTTGTGAATCACGGCTGCTRGTGCCAATGATCAAGATGGCCAATCGGATGCAGCATTTCTCCCACACAGGTTCTGCCCTACAGCAGCAGAAATCCCCTTTTCTAAAGTTTGTGRATATAGATGCTACAGTTTGCTTTAGACTTCTCTCACTCTGCTCCTTAGACACACTCTAGAATCAACCCCCTGCCTAGACTCTGCCCTGACAAARCAGCACCAGTCCTACAGCTATCCGCCAGCTGGAACTGCTAAAGATGGATCCTGACCTTGAGGACAGGGGACTCAGGAAAGGAAGCCAAACCTGTTTTCTTAGGGGGAATCCATGTGGTGGAGTAAAAAAATCTAGTGGGAGAAAATGGATGAGAATCACAATCACGCTTATAGCCACAAAATTCCTTACCCAAATTATTAGGGAAGGATTCTTTTTTATTTAGTTCTCAGTCACCTAAAGACTTGAAGAAGTTAACAGACACAAATAGCTCTGTTAAGTACAAAAGTGATTGTGATTTGACAAGAACATCCCTTAACATCAAAGTTTGAAGGAAAAAAAAAAAAGTGGCTTCTTTCAGCATTTATTATATGGTTCATCCCAATTTTATATATTTAAGAAAAAAGCATCTAAGAATTGAGGAAGTATGRTAACACTGAAGGATATAAATTATTATTCAAATTTGCCATTTCAATAACTTATTCAAAATCAATTTAATTTAACAAAAACAATACCCTTTTTACCAATAGAGTGAGAATATTATTAATTAGAGAATGACGACTATACACAGTTCACTGGCACACTTCAGGCTCCATATTCTCAATTACATGATACATATACACACAGAAATATAAAAGGATGCTTTATTATTTTGTCCTTGGGATTTATGAGAGAAGCTAGTTTGACAGGGAGAAGAAGGGCTAAACCCAGCACTCAGTGAGGGTTTAGCAGAACCTTCACACACACTGTTATTTCCATTTTGCAAATACAGTGGTGATGTATAGAGAATCTGTAATTTTCAGTTAGAATCAAGTTTTCAACAATTGGGGCCTTTCTCCTACTCCAGATGGCCTCCAAAGGCCACATCAGTCAGTTAACTTGGTTCTGGATCACTGGCTGGAATCTCAGGGCCATAACCCAGGCACTTCCTCTGTGGGTGATGGTGGCCCAAGGTGAAATAGTTGGCATTAAATGACAAAATTCTATCAGGAGACAGAGCAGGTGAAGAGCCCACAGGACTGCAGAAAACTTGGTCCTAGTCTAAAACCCTGGGGTGGCCCTTGAATAGCATGATGGCTGCAGTGAAAGGGTTAGGACAGGCAGTCCTACTGGCCCCATGAAACTGAAGAACACAACCATCTACTCTAGCTCTCTGAGTCCTGCTGGAGCCTCAGGTTCAAAACACAAGCACAGCCCCAGTCTAGGATGAAATGTCTGGTTGCTGGCCACAACATGGTGGGTGAGTCCCTGGTTGGTTTCTCCAGAGACATGATGACCAATAGAAGAATTTAGTCAATGGCCTGAGAGGTCCACAGAGGTCCAATTGACTGGACGTGATCTGCAGTTACAGATTCCCTCCACCCCAACCCTGCTCCGATTCCTTAGCCTCCAACAACATGGACAGCAACTTGAGCTGTTCATTTTCTCCCTAAGGTTTTCAGGAAGYAGGGCGAGAGTCATCATGATGAGCCAGTAATGAGCCTGCCCCTTAGGGTAACCAGACAGAGAAAAGGGGTGGAAGGAAAGAGCAAACACTATTTCCTGTGGTTAGAAGGCTGGGGTCTRGGCTGGGGCTGTAGCTCAGTGGTTGGGAACTTGTCTTGCATGTGTGAGGCACTGGTTCAATCCTCAGCACCACATTAAAAAATAAATAAATAAAACAAAGATATTGTGTCCATCTGCAACAACAACAATAACAAAAAGAAAAAAAGAGGTGGTGGCTGGGGTCTGTTTTCCTCTTAGGTCTTATTTCCAGGGTTAATCTGCCCGATTCTCATTATCTGAGACTCAATGAAGACAAGCCCTGAGCTGGAAAGGAGCTAAGATAGGACCCAGTCATGCATTTGGCACAGAAAGTCCCTCTGCACAGCATACGAGAGCACCACCTAGTTGTGTTTGAATGCTTCCAACAACAAGGACGTCTCCATTTTCACCAGTTGTTCTCACTGTAAAAGACAGTCTTCCACATATGGAGTCAGATAGGAATTCCACCCTTTAAGTATCTATCAGTTGTCAGGGGSAACACAACCTATACTCTTCCGATAGCACATGAGGACTACTGCATTTCTCCAAAGTTCTCTTCTCAAAATTAAACAATTCCAGGCCCCCAAGTGCCACCTGCAAATCTGTTGGAATATACTGCTCACTAACCTCAGGATACCCTCCAGTCTGCAGACATCCTTCATCCACATCTGGATCACACTGGATCCTGCATAGACATGGTCTGAGAGCTCAGAGCACAGAGACAATGACCTCCAGAGATGACATAACACAGCTTGGGATGGTTCTGCTGAGTGTGTTGTTGTTTGGCACTGGAAATTGAACCCAGGGGCACTTTACCACTGAGCCGTATCACTRGTTCTTTTCAAATTTTGAGWCAGGGTCTCCCTAAGTTGCTGAAGTTCTCACTAAAATTACTGTGGCTGGCCTTGAATTTGTGACCATCCTGCCTCAGCTTCCCAAGCCACTGGGATTACAAGCATATACTACCAGACCCAGTTGAAAGCGATATTACATCCCCAGTTCCTATGAACCAAGTTTTGTCAACTAGAATGCCCATGATTCCTTCATTCAAACTGTTATCAAAACCATGTCTTTTCATTTTCCCTTTTAGCAAATGTGATGGAGTCTTAAGATATGCAATGTTAATGAGAGTGAGAATTGTTAACTAACCACCTTTCTGCAAAGTGGCTAAGCAATAAGGACCAGACTTTTAAATGTATACGTCCTTTGTCCCAGTAACTCCACTTAACGAAATTTGTCTTAAGGACTAATAACTGGGCAAGTCATTTTATAATGATAATTCACAGATGGATACCCTATGCAAACACTGACAACTACAGGGTGACCCACCAGCAGGTTGTGGGATTTGAGACTGTTCACAGTGCTCTTCTTGCTGCCTATTGTTCATTCCCTACCCAGCAGCCAGCRGGCTCCTAAAAGAGGTCATGGCATACCACTTCCTGCTTCAACTTTTCCGACAGGACTGTTTTCAGAATTAAATCTTGCCTCCACTTATTTCCTGGGCCTCACTGGTGAGCATCCTAGCCGTGAGCATCCTAGCCTCTTTATCCCAAGGCCCTTTCAGGTTTTACTTCCTTCAAAAACACACAGCAGAAAGGGAAGAGATTGTGTATTTCCYTTTTTGACCCCTTGCCCCCAATCAAGTTAGTTCTATTATCTTGAACCTAGTTTGTCTCTTGTTCTCTGCACTAGCCTGTGGAGGCACACAGTAGGTGGTGGACAAATATCCACCAAATGGCAAGAAGAAGAAACAAAAGAATATATTGAATTACAGAATAATAAATGAAGAAAAGGAGAACAAAGCATATGCAGAAACCGTTCCACTGGAAGCACCACTATGTCATATAT